GCGGAATGGCTTAGCCCCAATCCTCTCTGCGTCAAACAGGACCGAAATGATACTCGCTACATCCTGAAAGTCACCAACGACAAAGCGATCTTACACCGAGGATACTCACGATTGCGATGACATCAACCTTTAATGCTTTTCTCACTTTAGTGCAATTTTATTCTGAGACCTTGCGAAGTTAACATATTTAACAAAGTTATACATAGTGGAAGTCCCTAGATCTCATACGTTTTGTGAAAGAGAGCGTTTTGGTACCCAAAATAGTTAAAAAAAAAAGATTTCGACTTTGTGACAAGAAAAGTGGAAAGGATTTATATTTCCATACTCTTTCGTTCGTTGAAATTGCTGTGTACTTACTTTGTATACTACTTGTTTTTTCATGTAATTCCCTTTTGAAAAAGTGAAAAAAACAGATACAAACTGCACAAAATTCGAGTATAAAAATAGTCCGCACACTATGTTAAGAAAATACAAAGTGTCTTGTGTATAATATGGACACTGATTTTTTTTGTATATCTCATTTAAAATGAGAATAACAAAAACGCATATCTTCGATCACACATGTGTCTATGTGTCTAGACATATAGTATACTATTTATGTTATAGACAGAATGTGGACTATCTACTCGTATATACGAAACATAAATTCTCACTTTGAAATAAGAGAAAAAGAATTGTTTTGCGTTCTTGTAATTCAAGAAAATGACTAACTATATCCATCAACAAAATCCCTTGACGTGAGTCGCGTCGCGAAATAGCGATATGGTAGTGATTGCGCTAAATAAAAACCCATATGAATTCGAAATCTATCTGAATCGAATTGATGCAGAATTCAGAGTCCCGTCGTGACTTCGCGACATTATAGCGATCGCGACGCGATTACATATCGCGCAGCGACTCTTAAGAAAAAATTCTTTTTAAAATAAGAATCGATCAAGATCACGCCGCGACTTCGCCATATTATAGCGATCGCGACGCGAATATAAGATTTCATCGCGATCGCGCCGCGAAAGGATATCATAGGGATCGCGGTAGCGACACCGCGATCGCGCCGCGAATGACGCGTGACAGTGGACCTGGGTGTTCTCTCCAAAACTGAAACTAAACGAACTCTTAATTTTCCTTGGTTCAGGTGTGGCATCGGAGTTCCTGAGAGGCTCACAATCAATATTTCTTTAGGTGTGCTAATTCCGAAAACGAATGGAAACATAGATAATGAACCACGCTAAATCTCGTAGCAACATTTATTTTTGAAAAAAGTTTCAAAAATCTAGTGAAAACCTATATGCAGTGAAATAACCCATTTTTGCCTATATCTGTTTAAAATTAAAAATTCCATAACTCAGTCAAAATCCATCCAAATTATGTCAGACTATCAAGATGTACTCTATTTTACCTGCTCAATGTGACGTTTTACTTAAGAATAGTAAAGAATAAAGGGTGGCCAGAAGCCCCGATCCGATTTGAATAATAAATTTTTCTATAATGAAACAAGTGATAGTAAATTTGTCTCTATGAAGAAAAGATGCAGTAAAAAACGCTCTACAAGTTGACTATTGATTGACCCCGTTAGCTCATCTAGTAAGAAAGTTGTAGGCTTAGAAATGTACTTCACGAAAAAGAAAAATCAACCGTGAATCCGATCTCGGTATTTTTGCTCTAACTCCTGTTGCTTAGGTCCCCTAGAATAAGTTCCTTTTTTAATAGAAGCATCGTGAAATTCTCTACAAAATCCGTACCTAAACTTTAATTTCAGAACTTCAATCAAGAAAATTAAGTAAATTATACACGAGGCGAAAAAAATAAAAACTTTGTAAATGTGATTTGTTTTATTTAATCTTCTTCTTCTCCTATTATTGTCGTAAAAAGAGCAGAGCAAAAGCGTCAACACAATTTGTGTTGGGTACTTTCAAATGTGCTCTTTCTTGTAGTTTGTAAAAAGACTTTTTAGAGCAGATGGTGTGCTCGAGAATCAAGTTTCAAAAATATGTCAAAAATCGACAACCCCGTTTCCAACAGTGTACCCAGCAAGAAACGGAAAACGTGATTGAAGTTTTGATGTTGCAACTAGGTAGAGAAGAGCAATTGTTTCTGATCAAAGGAAAACAAACCCGATCGGAAAACGTTTTGTTTTGATGAAGTTATGGGACGTTTACTGAAAGCACCACCATATGGACCGGGTTCACGGTTGATTTTTCTTTTTTGTGAAGCACATTTCTAAGCCTATAACTTTCTTACTAGATGAGCTAACAGGGTCAATCAATAGTCATCTTGTAGAGCGCTTTTTACTGCATCGTTTCTTCATAGAGACAAATTTACAACCACTTGTTTCACTATAGAAAAATTTATTATTCAAATCGGGTCAGGACTTCTGGGCCACCCT